TGGCCCACATCGAGCCAGAAACCTTCTCCATGCTTGGTCTAGAAATCCAAGAAGACCCACTGTCACTGGTCGTTTGTCTCAAGCGCGCCGAGAGCTCGTCTATTCCGAAAAGCAGGTGTTGATTGTGATAGCCAGATGGCTTTGTAGTTGCTTTTAGAGCTGCTGTAATGGCATCGGCGTACTGCAAAGCTTCTGATTTGCGACCATGCTCTGCGAGAGAGCAAGCATGTATGAGCTTGAACGCTAATAGATGTGGTAATGTAGATGTAGGAGAGCCCGCCAAGACTGAAACTGCATATTCATACGCTTCAGTGAGCAAGATTGCATCATCATCCTGCAACACGTTCAAGGGTAGATGCTGGTGGTCGGCTCCCAAAAGAACTATACTCGTTTGTGGGTCATCCGCACCGCCAAATACCGCGGCTCGTGATAACATAAAACAAATATGAGCAGCTTCCGTCCGACCGTACGATAACAGCAGCCGACCAAGGGCCAACAGGGCCTTGTGGTCTTCAGGACTGCGGTTGCTTAACACTAGTCCCAACGTATCCTTCCAGCTATCCAGACCCTCAAGGGCATTTTTAGACGGCCCTTGTCCACCAACCTTACTGACCATCTGTAAGCCCGCTCTTGCCGAGGGGGGAACAAGCTCATCAATACTTTCATCGACGTTTCCAGCGAAGATCTCATAGAGTGCTGCGAGGGACTCCGAGTTACCAGTCGTAGATTTGACTTCACGTCTGACAAATTCTTGAACGACTTGCTTCCAAACAGATCTATCGAGGGTTGAGGCTATTATCATAGCATGGCCCCATAAACGACTGTCCACCGCATCCCATACAGCCTTCTCCCGGTTGCCCACGAGAAGACTATTGCGAATGCTCTCTATTGACTGGATGTCAGTAGCATCAGATTGGGAAGGGGTGTTCAGTGGAGGCAAAGCATTGAAGGCTGGAAGGTTGACTCCGGAAGTCGGCTCCAGCTCAGAATTTTGCAGGTGAGGAAATATAATGTAGCGTAAGGACTTCTCTACCTCAGCCGACCCTTCCAAGACACCATCGTGTTCCACCAACGCGCGAACGATCTTCCACAATAATATTTTTTCATCATGCCGTTTTGAAGACTCAGGGTGTAATTGAGCTGCTTCGGAGATGCCCTCATTTTCGAATGCCGCAATTTTACTCGAAAGCCAGGCAACTAGGTCCTTCTTCTTGGACTTGTTCTTGAGTGGGCCCGGATGCTGCACAATACCTTCAGTGATAGGAACCCAATCGTTGGCTGAAACTATTTTCACTTCTCCTGGGGTGGATTTGATTTTTGGCGCGGCTTGACCGGCAGCATATCGTGGGACATGCTTAGGGAAACACGACGTTATGGAGCCGCCAAATCCAAACTTGACAATCGGAGCGCCCTTCCATCGTTCAAGTGGGTCCAATTCCTGCCCATCATTCGGTGGGATGAACTCAAGCGGCTGTGAAGGGACACGGTTATGGATAGAAATCTGAGATGGTGCGTAGGGGTTGGCGGATTTTGTTGGGGAAGCAGGAGCATGAACTGAAGCAGGCCGTTGTAAAGGATCCGAAGGCACGGATAATCCTGGAGCTGATGCCTGTTGGCTAGGAGATTGAGTTTGGGACCTGCGAGGCGGAATAAATTGAGCGTCACCAGGTGGAGGCACAACCGCTGGTGGAGGACTAGCCATAGGAGCAACGCGCTTTGAAAACTCGTTTATATACGCTGGAGGAGCATATGGATTCCTTGGGGGTGAGGTGGGCTGAAGAGCTGCCGACACGTTTTCAGGAACCGCCGTCACAGCAGCTGAACCTGCAGCGCCAACGGAAGCTGTGATAGTGTCAGAAACTTCCTGCTCATTCGGACGCGGCTGCATACCGTTGGGAGCATAGCTAGATGCTGGATCTGGAGCGGACCGGATAGCAAGGCCCTCTGGCGGTTGGTAGGAGACTTTTTCGTGATGAGCCAAAGGACTTGAGGTTCGTGGTTGGAACGGCAAAACAGCCCCTTGACTGGAGACGCTAGATGGTTGAGAAGCATAGCGGGTACGAGGTGGTGCAGGCGCAGCGGACTGGGGTGGTGCAGGGGAATACCTGGGTGCCGATGGAGGTGTGGTCCCAGGTTGTACAGTGGGTGGTTTGGGTGAGTATCGCGACGCTGCGCTAGGCGCTGCCGGGGCACCTGAAGCACTGGAGCCCAATAGATTTGCATAGGGATCCAAGCGCTCTGGTTGCTGCAACTGAGGTTGGGAGCCGACACTACCACTGTCCTGCGGAGGAGAGAGACTAGCGTATGGGTTCGCTGGGGGCGGCGGCGGCTGGGAGTGAGATGGTGGAGACGTCACTATATTAGCAGTAGGTGTATAACGTCCCGAGCTCGCAGGCCGGGATCTTGGCCGAGGGGGTGGCAAAGGTAGTTCTTCATAGAAGTTCTTAGGTGTCGTGACAGCTGGAACTGTCGATGCCGCAGGTGGAGTAGGGACCCCTGACGCATTGGGAGGAGGCCCTGGGATACTGCTACTCCGAGGTGGTGGCGGCATGCTACTAGGCTGCGCGACAACCGGCTTGTGGGTGACCACGGGCTTGCGAGGACGAGTAAGATCATCTGGCAGGTCGTAGGGTGACTTGTAGCCTTCTTTAGACCGTTCTGCGAAGCTCTCCGCTCTCTTTGCGGTAGGCCGCGGCTGGGGCGGGGGCGCAAAATAGTCTTGCATTGGAGCGGCACTTGATTGAGGAGCAATGCCTGGTATCCCTTGTAGTAAATCCGATGTCGATGGCTGATGCGGCGTATAACTGGTGGGTTGCGCCTGAGGTCGCGCTGAGCTTTGCGGAGTACCGAAGGGACTGCTAAGGGTTGCTTGGGTCGCCTCGTGAACGCTCCTATTCAGGTTCTGAGGAAGTGACTCCTGACCATTGTTTGAGCCCTCGCCAATCTCATCTTCCAGAAGCAAATCGTCATCATCATCAAGCGCTGCTTGCCACCTAGCAGCCAAGTCATCTTCTGAACTTTTGTCAGGTTGCTCATCAGACAGTTCAGCCTGCCACTTTGCAGCCAAATCATCATCAGAAAGATCTTCCTTGGGCTGGTGCTCTGATGCAGTTGCCGCCAGGATATTGTCAAATTCTTGAACTGTTGGGGATGCAGTGCTGACCGGCGAGTCGGGGAAAGCGTCAAGTGAGCCGATGACTTGTGTGGTGCTCTTGCGAGTAATAATGGGGGATGGATCTGCCTCTGCTTCAGGTACAGATCCTTGGACCTCATTGAAGAATGCTCCACCTTCATCGTCACCGTCATCCTCAAAAATCTTATCTATCTGACTCTCTGCTTTCACAGAAGGCTGGACTGGCGACTCAGCAGTATTATCTAGCAACGGAACACCTTCCTCATATCTAGATTCTGTTTCTGGTGGGATATAAATTGGCTTAGTTTGAGTTTTCAGCTGGCTGAAAAAGTCGTCTCCGGCATCACCATTCGTAGGGCTTCCCCAAAAGTCTTGGTTATCGTCATTCGCAAATTCGTTGGTAGTCTGATGGTCACCTCTGTCAACATGTTCATTGAACCAAGAAGCTGCTTCATTATCCTCATGACGCTCTGTATGTTCTGCTAGAGAAGATTCATCCATCATATTAACAGGTACCGCGGTATCGGGAAACCCGTTCGCGTCGCTCCCAAATGCAGGCTCCAAAGTAGGCGCGTTTTCCTCAGAAGTCTCGATAATATGAGGCTCATTGGACATTGTTTGTGGTAACGCCTGATCATGATCTGGGGCATCTTCTTGCGACGCATCATTCTCTGCAGTGTTCTCTTGATTCAAGACTTGCTCAGCATGCGGCGGAGCATTTGAGTCCGTTGCGGCTGGGACGGCGGTAGGCTGCACGTCATCAGAAGCATCGGTATCTGGGGACGCAGAGCTGATATGTAAAGCGTTCTCTTGGATAACTGCCTGGGAGGGTTTAAGCTCGGCGGAAGATTCCGTCCTTGAATCTTTCAAGTCCTGTGTTAGGTCGTCCGAGACAGGCGCATTCGAGGGCACGCCATCCTCTGATCTAAGAGCTGGATGCCAGGCGGCCGATGCCTCATTATGAGCCATGTTTGCTGAAATACGGGATCTAAATCGGCGATAAAAGGTCAGCTTATCATAGATCGCATGACACGTTTCCAAATGTGCTCACCCTGAAAGGACCGACGAGGCAAAATGGCAACGGCGTAGAATTATTTAATTAGTAAAACATGAAAGAAGAAATGTACACAGTTTGCGTTGAAGAGGATTAATTCATCACATAAAATGAGAGGAAACAAGAACTCATGGCCGCATATCCAGGAAGAACAACAATCACGACTTTGGGAATCCAACAGCTGATTCCGTGACGGACTTCCGGATTCTCTCTTATGATACTCCAACTAGTACGGAGTAGTTAACTATTATTGACCTATCGGACCCTTGGGACGCGCCCGTCATCCGGGGCGGGCGATTAATGTTCCAGGCGGAAGGGCCACCTATTCCGTTTGCTTTAACACGTGACTACATCATCACTAAGCCACTTCACCGCGGTGGATACGAAAGACAGTGGGTACTCTATACTGATTGATGGAAATCAAATGCAATTTTTATGCACGGTAAGCATTCAGTCGGCCATTACGGAGTACTAGCCACAGTTAACTAAACAGTACAATTCTCGAGTACTAATAGGTACCTTTAATTACTATGCTTTTCCGAAAAAATTAATCAACGCAAGACAGTGGTCCTATAATCTTAACCATCCAATTACTCTGTAGCCCACCTATGACATCGCTGTTTCACAGCACACCCATTTTATTGATGCGCCACAATTAGTACACGTCTCCTGTGACCATCCAATCATGTGATTGGACACCGCTCTACGGCCATTCCTGACTAAGGTATTAACATCTCCATACCTCTAGGCCACCATCACTCGACATTACGAACGCCCTTGCTGTTGACAATAACAGACCCAAATATAATTCCCGGTACCTCTTCGTTCGTTTTTGTGCCCACTCCGAAAACCACACCGCCGACATTTTGCGCAACCAAACCCCGAATATTCCCCTATCGCATCAACAATGGTCCTCCTGAAAAGTCTTGGATGCAACTCGACGTGACATGATATCATTTGCTAGTGCAGGAGCTTGAAAACTGCTCCCCTGGATGTGGGGACTTACACCGCATTTGTCTGTGATCTGTTAATCATGCCTTCATCATCCGATTACTTAAACCCCAACTCCCGAGCCAGCATTGCTGGTGATTCTGGTTCGGACGACGACCTTGACTTGGAAGAGCTCGATCCAACTACAGCAACAATTCACTCCCCACGTTCAACAGATGGACCGTCGAGACCAAGAGACCATGGTCCAGGGATTGCGCTGAGGAATTTGCGCCTGGGCGTAAGAGATCGAGTGTGGGGCCGGAATCACTCCGGAACGTACAGGGGATCGGAGGACATGGATCATTTGCTCGAAGATCGAGACGACGGCTTGCGAAGGTCCCATGCGAGCTCTCGCAATTATACTGATGACGATGCGCCCCTGTTAGAGGAAGGTCGACATGAGTCGGGTCGTTCGTTTCCGGACAACGAGCGGGTGCCACGCAGGGGTCGTCGATTCCGATTTCCGGGTACTAAAATAGCAAGTTTGTTCTTTGGCTCTTCGGCATCGACTGCGAGTGAAACTGCGATAGCGAAGCCTCCCCGCGATGTTTTTGTAGGGCAGGTACAAAGGTCCAAATATCCGCCAAATATCGTTTCGAACGCAAAATATACCCCATGGAGTTTCTTGCCACGTACATTATACAACGAATTCTCGTTCTTTTTCAACATTTATTTCCTCCTCGTCGCGCTTTCACAGATTATTCCCCTGCTTCGGATAGGCTACATGTCCTCTTACATCGCGCCATTGGCGTTCGTCGTTTCCATATCGCTCGGGAAAGAGGCTTTGGATGATATCGGTCGACGGCGAAGGGACGCAGAGGCGAATGCAGAGGAGTTTTCTGTTCTAGCATTCGATAAGCCTCTGGGAAGACAGCCGGCTTTTGCGTCTGGCGGTGTCAACTCCGAGATTGCAAATGCCATGCAAGTTACTAAAAGATCTCGGGACCTGAAAGTTGGCGATGTTTTGGAAATTCGAAAGAACCAACGGCTTCCTGCCGACGTTGTGATCTTGAAAAGCGTCTCGAATGATACGGCCCATCAGGAGACCTTGACGGAATCATCCACAGATCTTATACAGGCAGACCAAAATTCAGCACCGCCCGCGGCAGAACCTAGTTCGAGTCCTGCAGCAGAAACGACAAGTGCATCGTCGGCTAGCGATACGTTCATACGCACAGATCAGCTTGACGGTGAAACGGACTGGAAACTACGTCTACCATCAGTACTATCGCAAAACCTTCCACTTGTGGACCTCTCCCGGTTGAAAGTTACTGCGAGTGCACCTGATAAAAGTGTAAATGAATTTGTTGGTACTATTGAGTTAGGGCCTCCTGTCGGATTCTACGACCCCCACGTTGATAAGGCGGATGACGATGATTCTGGTAACGAAGGAGTTCAATCCAAATCTGCTCCGCTGACGATCGATAACACGGCCTGGGCCAATACTGTCCTTGCATCAAATACGATTACATATGCCGTCATTATCTATACCGGTTCACAGACACGAGCGGCACTTTCAACATCCCCATCTCGCTCCAAAGTAGGCCTGTTAGAGTATGAAATCAACAACCTGACCAAAATCCTATGCGTCTTGACCCTCGCCCTATCGATTATTTTGGTTGCCTTGGAGGGATTTCAGCCAACTAACGATAAGGAGTGGTATGTTGCGATCATGATTTATCTTATCCTCTTCTCTACGATTATCCCTATGAGCTTGCGTGTCAACTTGGATATGGCCAAGTCAGTGTACGGCCGTTTCATTGAGCGTGACAAGGATATACCTGGTACCGTTGTAAGAACTAGCACCATACCTGAGGATCTCGGTAGGATTGAGTACCTGTTGTCGGACAAGACGGGAACTTTGACCCAGAACGGTGAGTTTCTCTCGCTTTCTCGGATGAAGCGTTGGCCAACTGACTTCGGCAGAAATGGAGTTGAAGAAAATCCATGTTGGAACTGTGTCATATGCAAACGACGCTATGGAGGAGGTGGCCTCATATGTCAGACAAAGCTTTTCTGGTAACTCATTGACTACTCCCTCAACGCCGTTTGGAACTCAAACGGGACATGGGGCAGCTCCTCGCACGCGAAGAGAAATAGGTTCGCGTGTCAGGGATGTTATACTCGCTCTTGCTCTGTGTCACAATGTTACGCCGACAATAGACGAAGAAGATGGTGTGAAAGTAACAAACTATCAGGCCTCTTCGCCGGATGAAATTGCCATTGTTCGGTACACCGAGGAGGTCGGGCTCAAACTGGCCTATCGTGACCGTCAGACGATAGTTCTCGAGTCTACGCACACCCGGAGTGTCGTTGTACGTGTCCGCATACTTGAAATATTTCCTTTCACTTCGGATAGTAAGCGTATGGGCATTATCGTACAATTTGAGACAGATGGTGGAGTATTAGAATCCCCCAAACAAGGACCTGAGATATGGTTTTATCAAAAGGGCGCAGACACGGTTATGACCTCGATCGTTGCAGCAAACGATTGGCTTGATGAGGAAACTGCCAACATGGCTCGGGAGGGCCTGCGCACTCTGGTTGTGGGAAGGAAACGGCTTTCCTTGCAACAGTACCAGGAATTCGATGCGAAATATAAGCAAGCGTCGCTTGCTCTCCAGGGACGGGACGACGGGATGGCCAAGGTCATCAGCGAGTATCTTGAACGAGATCTGGAACTTCTTGGAGTGACTGGTGTCGAAGACCGTTTACAAAGGGACGTTAAGCCATCATTAGAACTTCTCCGCAACGCTGGAATCAAAATCTGGATGTTGACAGGTGACAAGGTGGAGACAGCACGTTGTGTGGCTATTTCTGCAAAATTAGTTGCCAGAGGACAGTACATCCATACTGTCGCCAAAGTCAAAGACAAATCGGCTGCCCAGGAAGCTCTGGATTTTCTGCGCAACAAAACCGACTGTTGCCTGCTTATTGATGGCGAATCACTCTCTCTCATGCTTAGTCAATTCCGGACAGCGTTCATATCAGTTGCAGTCCTGTTACCCGCTGTTGTTGCCTGTCGATGCTCCCCAACTCAGAAAGCTGAGGTTGCGGACTTGATCCGTCAGCATACCAAAAAGCGAGTCTGTTGCATAGGCGATGGTGGCAACGATGTGTCCATGATTCAGTCGGCTGATGTGGGAATTGGTATTGTCGGTAAAGAAGGACGCCAGGCTTCCCTTGCAGCAGATTTCAGCATTACCCAGTTCCACCATCTCACCAAGCTCCTGGTCTGGCACGGACGCAATTCCTACAAGCGATCTGCCAAGCTGGCACAGTTCATCATGCATCGCGGTCTCATCATCAGCGCCTGCCAGACCATGTACAGCATTGCCAGTCACTTTGATCCCAAGGGTCTCTTTATCAACTGGCTCATGGTCGGCTATGCTACTGTTTACACCAACGCCCCCGTTTTCTCCTTAGTCTTTGATCGTGACGTTGACGAGCACCTCGCTAATCTCTACCCCGAACTGTACAAAGAACTCAAATCCGGCCGCAGTCTAAGTTATCGCTCCTTCTTCACCTGGGTCCTGATCTCCGTATACCAAGGGGCCGTAATCCAAGGCCTCTCCCAGATCCTCCTAGACACGATCGCAGGACCCCGACTCATCAGCGTATCATTCACAGCCCTGGTGATCAACGAACTTCTAATGGTCGCCATCGCCATAACTACCTGGCACCCTGTAATGATCTTCTGTCTCCTAGGCACAGCCCTCCTGTACGCTGCCAGCGTCCCCTTCCTAGGCGAGTACTTCGATCTGCAATATGTGATCACCGTGGATTGGGTCTGGCGTGTCATCGCTGTCGTCGCCGTGGCCATCATCCCCGTCTGGGCTGGAAAGTTGATCCAACGATCCTGGCATCCTCCGAGTTACCGGAAAGTGAGGGGTTAGCTTAATCAAATTACCTTCTTACTTCTCTTCCTCACTTGATCTTGTTTCCTACTGACCACCACCACGCTATCCTTCTCTTCTCGCATGTGACAAAAATATTTCATCAGTTGAACGGTGTTTGGAGCGAGCGCTTCTTTGTGATATTTATTGTATGCCTATAACAAGCATCTCTTTTGATATTGCCACGGAGACACTGTCATGGTTGATATATAACATTTTAGAATTCCACTGGTTTACCTACTTGTGCCCACTTTCTTTAGGAACCCGCAAGTTCTTGCCTTCGTGGCTAATTGTAGAATAAAGAGTAACTTCGATCTCGTGCGTTCGACCGTTACACCATTCTAGCCAGTGTGAAAAGGACGAGCTACTAGGTAATGATATGAGAACTTTCGTTCGAGAAGTATATTGTGTTAAGAATAACTCTTTTTCCTAGCAGAAGAGGTCGACCATTCTTATAGCTACTAGAAAGGGTGGCCGGGTGATCATTTATTGGTATAGTCAAGTTTAGTCTGAAAAATACGCTAGTTCAAAAGGCCACCTATTGCTAAGATTCCTTACCCGTGATACACGTCGGCCCTAAACCTGGTTCATATAACTAGTCTATCCATTCTAGCAAGCCCCGAGGTCTTTCAGGGGGCTAAGGTACGGCATATAGGATAGTGACCGAGCTAGATAGAGTATAGAGAGCATCTACCCTAAACGCCATCTGAAAGTTAAACCACAGGCTACCGTTTTAATATTGTGATTTTGGGATAGTATCACCGCCAGAAAGGGTTCGTGGCATCTTAGTGCTCCATTTGAGAGAAGTGTTGATTTAGTACATACATTGATAACCAAAAGATCAATGTCTGCTGCGGATAGGAATACCCCTAGGCATGCAAACATAACACGATGCATACAGATCATAACACAACATTGCTCATCACCTCTGCTTCGGAATCGTTGAAGAAGAGAGTTATCCCCGGCGGCATACATCACAGCCCCAAGTAAATTAAGATAATAACAGGTCCCTCTGTTTAAACTAAGGGCTGAACACTTTCTTGAACCGGAAATGGGAGAGGTCCCGGATGACCTGCGCAGTGCTCTTCATGTTTTCCTTGACGATGTATGACGTGGGCTTGGAGAACAACTCGTCAATCTCTTCCAGAGACTTGTTCTTAGTTTCTGGCATGAAGATGATTTGGTAAACCCAGCCGAGTGCGGCGATGCCACCGTAGAAGCCTAGAGTGAGACCGATACGGGTCATAGACTTCATCATAGCGGTAAAGTTGTATGTGACGATGAACGAGCAGAGGAAAAGGTTGGCGTCGGCAGTAGTCATACCATAACTACGAAGGTAGGTGGGGAACACCTCGGATGGGATAACCCAGGTCAGACAAGCGTATGAGCCAAAGAAACCCATGTAGAGGATGATGCCAGTGAGGTAGACCCCCTGGGCGGCCACGGGGTTTCGATCGGGGTTGATTTGATAACCCACACCAACCAAAACAAGACCAATAAAGAAACACGGCAGCATGGTATTGGCCCAGTAACGCCGGCCGAATTTCTCCATGTACATGACCGCCGGGATTGTGCCGATCAGCAAAGAACCACCACCCACCAGCGACATGAAGACACTGTTACGTTTATCGAAACCGATGTTTTCCATGAGAGTACCCATGTAGTACATAACGGCATTGACACCCGTTAGCTGGCCAAGGACAATCATGATGTTGGCGTAGACCATGGCGCGGCGAGCACGAGGATTAGTAAAGAAGTCCATCCAGGCGTACTTCTTGGTGTGCTGCTGTTCCTCGTTCTCCGACTCCACCGACTGTCGCATACCTAAGAACTCACTCTTGGCATCTATATCCTCGAAGCCACGAATCTTTTTCCAAACGCCATACGCTTCCACCGGCTTGTTCTTGTGCATCAAGAAACGAGGACTTTCGGGCAAGAAAAGCATTCCGACGAGAAGGATGGTTGAGAAGACCAAGGATGAGCCAAGAATATAGCGCCAGTTGCCCTTGACGTCGAGGAAGATGGCGGCAACCGCATAGCCAAGAACCTCGCCCAGAGCAATGTTTAGTTGATAAAGCGAGACCAGGTTACCACGGATCCTTGATGGGACTGTAATTGTGAGCGGATGGAGCCAGACTGCAGCGGGAACAAGGCATATGTTTGGTTACATACCACATTCAGCAACATAAACCGGAACGGTACCACCCTCCAAACCAACACCCATACCCAGAATGAAACGACCCGCAAACATCATGCCAAAGTTGACCGCGCCGGCCTCCAAGGCAGCACCAATGGTGTAGAGGATACACGATACGATAATAGCCATACGACGGCCCAAGTATTCGTTGGCCGGAGAAAGAATTAGCGCTCCACCCACGGCACCCAACGGCATACCGGCATTAACCAAGCTGGCGTTCGAGTCAGACAAGTGCAGGTCATCGGGCATGTAGAGGTTGGCACCACTGATCAAGGACTGGTCCAGACCAGAGAGCAAACCTCCCAAGGAGGCAAATGCGACTAAGATATAAGTGAAGTAGGCCGGGTTGGAAAGCGCGACGTCGAAGCGTGACTTCTTCAATTCACGCAGCTGGTTCTCCAGTTGTTGGAGTTCCATATCCATGGCAGCCTCGTTAAAGGCGGCGGTGCCCTTCGGGTCCTGGAGGATATCATCCATCTCCACGGCTGTGGCATCCTTGTGGTCATCATGGGAGGCCTCAACATCCTTTAAGGACCCCATGATGGAGGCTGATGAAGATCGTTGGAAATACTCGGGGGGGGGGGTTGTGAACTTGTTATACAAGGGGGTTGTTTATGGTACAATCAACTGATAGACCAATAGGAGTTCCTCAAGTTCTAGAGGAGATGGAGAGGAATCATTTAGCAAACTATGAAAGAAAAGAAGCAAGGAAAGGAAAGGAAAAGGAAAAGTGAGAAGAAAGTCGGGCAGCCGAGACAGCACGGGACTTATAAGGCCATCGTCAGGCACGTCACCCCATTCAAGAACTCTACAGGCTTTCGTACCGGATGGCACCTGACTGTGGGGGGGGCAATAAGAGTCTGCCCCAGAAGAGAAATCCGCAGAATGAATTCAAAACTTTCTGGAGTAGATTACTCGACTTAGTATTTACTGGATGACTCGATTACTCGATTGGTAGCCCAACGAGACAGTGGAGACGTCATGGTCCCGAGTTAAAAAAAAAATTTCTTTTCTTTTTTACTCGGGATGAATGAGGAATGTGTGCTGCTAAGGGCAAGGGACAAGGGGGACCGTGAGTAAGGAGAAACTGGAGATGGAATGTTGTTGGGTGAGAACTCCGGAATCACTCCGCATGGAAACCATCGGGAAGCCTGGAGTGGAAAAAAGAGGAGAGCGCCGATCCCCACACGGCAAATACACATTTCCCCGTGGAGGGCAAAAGCCACGACGGTTCAGGAAGCCGAGTCCGGCAACGGTACAATTTCGGGGAGTTTCCGGGTTTTTTCATATTATATGTCCAACAACGCGTCCAATGGAAGAGAATCAATTGCGGGATTTATGGAGCGTCATCGGAGAAAAAATCAGAGGAAGAAAAACGCCCAGCACGAGGAAACCTTCCACCTGCCCACCCGAGCCTCTTATTCGCTGTTTCCCCAGTTAAGATTCTGCCAGGAAAGGCTTAGTTTCAGCGAACCAGTCGTCCTAACCCTGGAAAACGTGGGGGGTCTCCATTTCTCGTGAGGTAATCTTCCACTACTTGTATGTACTTGTATGTACTTGTATGTACTAGTGTAGTTTGTACTCAGCTCTTGTCCGAACAGAGTAGTAGTAAAATCTTATTATCCACACCTATTGGCCATCTTTCTACATACATACTTAGAGTAGTTACATGGGTGGCTGTTTGTTCTTCCGCCCTATACAATCACATGATATCAAGCACATTGGGTAAAAAAGTCACAATACTCTCTAGCCTGTCTCTAGTACTCCACACTGTACATGTATCAGTAGCACCAAATTACATTAATTAATTGAGAAGAACCGAACAGAAATAAGAAAAAAGTAATAAAAATAACGACGTCCTTCCTCCAGCCGGACACACAGACATTAACCAGCAGTACCTGCCTGCCTTCTCGGTGGGATATCCATCTTCTGCGTCAAATCACATTTCCTTCCTAGTTTCCCCGGTAAACCCAACTTCTAGAGAACCGCTAGGAAAAAAATTGTTTTGGACGGCTCCAGTTTTCATTTATTTATTTGCATTTGATTTTTTTTTTTTTTTTTTTTCTTTCATCGCATCCTTCCCCCAACCGGTTTTCGTGCGCTAGGATCCGATCCGCCCCCATAGTATGGTGAAACCGGCCGACTGTTCGGGTTCTGCCCGGGACTAGGCGACCGGCCTCCATGTAATCTAGCCCGAAGCCTTTCTTGTGCCGAAGCTGCCCGTTCTAGAGGTTGAGAACCGGACAGCGCTTGATATGATCCAGCTCGCTGGCTGGGCAATGGTCGCGCTCCGCCCGGGTGCAGCGATGGCGGGGTAGGCGAGTGACTAGGCGGTGTTGCTACAGACCCCGGGGGCGCACTGCTCGTGGCCGCCAACGGCGCACCCATACTACCAGCAGCCCGTCCTCGTCGCAAACTAGCCGTTTGAGAGGTGGGAGGTTGTGCCGAGCCTGAATCACCCCACAGATCACCCAATCCACCACCGCTACCACGTCCGTACATCGACGTTGCCGGGGCCGAACCATGAGGGCCGGGCTGGATTTGAGTCGTCGCAATAGTCCGGGCCGGCGCAGGTGTTGGAGCTTTGGGGTTAGGGGGAAGCCAACCGGGGAACGGGCGACCTTTCTCGCTATAGTAGGCGCGTAGAACGTTGGAGATGTGAGAGCAGTCCTCGTGGTCTGGATCGTCCGCCTCGTCGCCCAGTGTGATCGCTCGGCGAAGGGACGTCAGGCGAGTGCCGAGATTCGAGATCGCCGATGAGGACGTGAGGGAAGAGAAATAGGAAGACATTACGCTGTGTGCTTTATTGTTCAGGGGTGACACCGAATGTTCGTATAGTGGCGGGGTGTGCGATGGCGGCAAGGACGATGCGGTGTGGACGGAATTAAATGCGACAACAACGGAAGGCTCAAAAAAGAACCGAAACTAGCGGTTACGGCAATCCAGGTTACAATGACAATAGAAACGATATCTCAACTAACAGCTGCCCAAGGAGGAGATAGAAAAGTATCTGCCACATTCTTTGCCAGGATGTTAATTTGGCTTCATTAAGTCATTACACTTGGCGCTCCACTCGCTTGTTTCACCCCGGCACGTGAGCCGCGTCTGTCTTCCAGGAGTACGGAGTATATCTACCATGGGTCACCATCAGTTCCCACCACTTTATCTTAAGGGGCTCGGGAGTATGTTAAAAATAGAGAGTAAAAAATCATATTAAATCCGCAGGATCAGGAAAATTGTTTGTAAACTATGCAGAGACTGGGTATGACGCCCGATCGTAGCAGATGTGACTTCAGAGACAACAACCAGACAACGCCGTGCAAAATACAACAGACCAGAATGCTTTTTGCTTTTTGGGTCGGGGTTTCCAAAATTCAAGAAAGGTCTCTGTCTTAGGCGAAGAGATTCTCCTTGCCAGCGCCCTCGGTTTCGTACTCGATCTCAATCCGAGGACCCTTCTTCCGGGGCTTAGCCTGGGGAGCAGGGCGCTTCCTCTTGAAGCCAGGCGCAGGCTTCTTCTTCTCATCCTCGCTGTGCTCGCTAGCATCTTCTTCGTCGCTCTCTTCATCACTGCCCTCATCCTCATCATCCTCGTCGTCATAGTCATCACTTGAGTCACCCGACTCCGCACCCAGCCAATCTTCAATATCTTCCAGATCCTCCTCCTCATCAAGATCGCTAACGTACTCAACCTCACCAACACCCTCTTCCTCCTCCTCTAACTCTCCATCATCGAGATCCTCGTCACGCTCACCCTCGCCCGCGCGCTCCAGGCCGCGAAGCACCTTCTTCCAGATACCCTCCTCCACGTTCAGCGGCGCTTCACCATACGCACCACTGCGCAATCTCTCAATAAGCTCTCTCTCAATCGCCCGCTCAACCTTAGCTGCTGATTCAGCCTTGCGCTCACGGGTTTCCTCTCTCCGCCGAATCTTAGGCGCCATCTTCGGCACAATCTTCTCCCCCAGTCTCTCCTCCTCTTTAGCCAGCTTCTTCATGCGAATAGCCACCTGCGTCAGCCTCGTAAGACGCTGCTTGCACTTGTGTACCAGAAACTTAGGCCAGTAGATCAGTCGCTCGTCAAGCTGCTCCAGCGCCTTTGCGTAGTTCGACGACAGCCTTATCCGTTCCCACCATTTACTGGGCATGTGCGCGCGTTCCACGGTCTTCATGTAGAGGTACATCACGCCCGTTTCGGGATCCGACCGCACTGTAGCATAGCGGGAGTTGGCCAGCGGGCAGGACTGGCGGTTGCAGAGACCGCTGACATTGTATTCGTTTCGGCAGAAATTTTGGCCTTTGGTTGTTCTGGAGGTGGAAGTGTTAGTTATTTAATGTACTATGTCTATTTTTTATTAAAAAATTTTGTCCTTTGTTTCCTCGTTCGCATCGGCTTGTTTCGTTTCTCCGGCGGAAGATATGCAAGTATTTTTTTTATCAGTAACTTACTTTAGTTTATAGGAACAGAATTGCTGGTTGATAACCTGCCAGACAATCTCATCCGACGACATCTTGACTAGAGCCGGCCAGGAATTTCAAAATAATGGCCTAAACCGCCGTGGTTGGGAGAAACAGTCTTTGCTATCCGGCTAGACTTTGCGAGAATGATCGATTCTGCCGCAAAAAAAAGTTGCCGCAGTGATCATCACGTGAGAGTTTTCTTATCGATAAGACTTGGCAGTAAGTAATGGCAGGCGATTGCAAACACATCAGCTTCAACTGGTCAATATCGTTACAATTAGTGGAATGTGCCTGGTACGATATAACTGAGAGCTAGAGGATCACTTCTATTGGGGTATATGTATTTCATTCATGATTGTCATTATACTCTATGATGAAAGAAACATTCTCTCGAGATGAAAATCGCCTCACCACTCCTCCATCTGCAATGGGCCTCCGTCCCATTCGGTTCCTTCTGGTAACTGCCCACCAGCCGCAGCCATCTCGGCTTCCTCGCTGGCACCATTGAGCATTTCCTCACCTGCAAATCCCCAGCCCATTGCTTCGAGCTCCCGCACAAAGAAATCGCGCTCCTCTTCCATGAGTGATGCGCCCTCCTCACCACCCATTACATCTTTATACCGCCGCAGGTGCCACCAGTGTGTCAGGCCACGGAGTGCTTGTTCGAGCGGCAAGGCTTCTTCCACCTCCGCATCGATGTCTGATCCTGCCAGCCAGTCATCTCGCAGCTCCGGACGGCAGTAGAGGTAGATGGCGGTGATCACACGCATGTTGCTTTGCCGCCATTTGCGGCCACAGTAAGGGACCTGTGATTTGAAGAGCTTGAGGGTGTAGAACCGTAGATGCGGGTCCGGTATTTTCAGCCCTTTTCGAAGGATAGTACTAGATTTGTATTGCACCAGCAGCAGACATCTGTGGGCTTTGTCACGGGTAATCTTCTGCATGATGTGCAAGTAATTGATAGCCGAGAAAAAGTTGCGGAATGAAAACACCTTGATCGGCTCTTTGGGTGGAGGTGCGGTAGGGTATCCCAGCTCGTCCACCTCAGGACGAGGAAGATCGGGTTCGTTCAAAAACTCTTCAAAAGCCTCCTCCGGGGATTGTACTCGTACGGAAGAGTTTCCTGGATCTACTTCTGATCGATGCCGAGCAATTGGGGGAGGGGCCGCCTCATCCCCGCTCGATTCCTCGTCCGAATGCGATGGTTCTGGAGGTTGGTCCGAATGAAGAAGACAGAAATGGAAGAAGCTTATTCTTGTCAGTAATTCTGGCTGGTAGATCTTAATCGAAAGGGTGCGTACCCCAGCTCCTTGCGGTCAAACTTCTGTGCCACAGCTTGATCAATATCTTGGTGGGCAAACATCTTCAATATCAACGGCAGGTAATTGGAATCGAGCAACAACTGCGTCATATATTCAAATTTCAATATGTCTAGGCTCGGTCAGCAATGATACCATTCCATCTGCGCTAGGGTTATAAGCGTACGAGATCTTTTGAACCACTTTACCAGAAGCAACAGAGATCCTGAAATGGCTTTTCCAGTAATCTCCCGAAGCCGAATGTTGTCAAGTTCCTCAATAGCAGCCTCGGAGTTCAAATCCTCGGCGATAGACGCTGGCCCAGGACCGGATCCATTAACGCCGTAACTATCGCTAAGCACATATTAACCCAACTTTCAGTACGACTAGAGCTAGGGTCCATACCTCATTCCTTGGCCACCTTGGGTCTGGTTCACCATAGCACTGACATTTGTCAGAATTATCTTCAAGAATACAATGGTGATGGATTGCAAATGCACAAGCGCTTGTGTCTGGAAAACTTGTCAGCCCATGTATTACTGAAATACGGGTAAAACTCACATAGAAGGACTCAACGGCATCCAAGCGCCGCTGGATATCTTCATCGTCGGTTTCCTTGCTGGCCGACCATCCTGGAGTGTTCTTTTTTTCCTGCTTCAAATCTAAATCTTGAAAGTCCTCTAGGAGTTCGTCAGGAATATTCTCATCGGATGCGGTCCCACTATCATCTAGGTACCAGCCGCGATCATATTTCATGAACCGTTCTCGCTCTTCCCAAAGTTGTCGCATCGCTCTAGTCATTTTCACGTGTGTCGAGAAAAGTTTGCCGGCCTCGATGATTGAAGCTGGTACGTCACTTCCCTCCCACCTCTTGCCAACGAGCACATCTTGAAGCTCGGTTGTGCCTTTGCCGCCGATGTCGTTGCTAGAAACATCTAAAGGTGGGTACATGAAGGGGAAGTTTTGGTTCGTCTGATAGTTCTGCTTTTTTCCCGCTTTACCCCCTGGACCAATTGGCGATGGAGGCGGAGAAGGTGCAGGTGTTGCTATGTGGACTGACTGATGAAGGATTGAACCATTGCCACCTGCAACAGATGGGCCGACCCCAGAAAAGAGTCCATTAGACGAAGCTCCTCTGCTGGGATGCTGGGGAAGAGGAGGGAGAATAGAATTGTTCTCTAGTTCCAGAGGAACTACAGGTGGTGGCGGGTTATAGGCCGGGTATTTAGAAGTAATTTCCTGTCGAAAGATATGATAATCAAGAGGCGATGCAGTCAGAAAAGGCGTCCTCCGAGACGTATCATCCTCCCTTTCCTTAAACGTTGGTTCCAATTCCTCCTTGGCTCTTTTCAACTCATCACTGCCGCCAAAGAAGAGGAGTAAAGACTTCCAAAATAAGAGGATTATCCTCGTAAGCGGGATGTTAGCAGAGTCATCCCACCGCAGGCGTGCGATAACTTCAACCAGGAATACCAGTAGATTCGGCTTCAGGCCAACCAGGGCATTCCTTAACGGTGTGTGCCGCGGATCTCGGGCCTCTTGTTTCCTACTGACCTCCACGATCATGTAAAAGGTTGTAAGGATCAAATTCGCCTCACGCTCCATGGCAGCGAGAGATGCTGGGTTCGTGCTCTCAGCCCCAGCCCCAGCAGACTCACTACTATAAGAGGCGCGGTTTCTTTCAAAAACGCAACATAGACACTCGAGCAACGGTGCCAGGCCTGAGCTTTCAAGAACCAGGTTGGCACTTTCCTCGATCCAACGGATTTGTAATGACTTAGATTTCGGGACCTCTGCGGTTTCCTTGGGAGACGGATCTTCAGGATAATCATCTATAGCTCTTCCAGCAGTGGTACCCCATACACCAGTAACGATATAACAAACGACTTCCAGGGCTTCAAGTCGCACCGAGACCTCACGATCTCGTATGAAATTTACCATCTGAGCCATGAATGCCATTCGCTGATCATAAGTAGCATCTATCCAAGATATCTCCAAGAATTCTGCGTTCTGAGTCTCGAGAAAAGATGCCCACTTCTTCTCAAACGATGACTTCATGCCCATTAGCATAGCTCTGTCAAACTCGCTGTACTGGAACCATTCTTCGACCTCTTCCGCAAATGGCTGAGAATCGGCATATTCAAATGCATAAGCAGGCTGTTCAATCCTAGGCATCTCCTGCACGAATTGCCTGAGCTGTGCAAGACTTAGTGAGTCCGTGGGTCTTTCTAAATTCTGTTGCACTGGAGCTGGTGGTGGAGGCTGTAGAGGCGGCGGCGGAGCTGCAGCATCCCGACGTAACTCCGGTCGCCGATGTGGTTTTCCAGCCTCCATAGGCACTTCACCTGGGGCAGACGGCGTGCTTCCTGAAACTCGCTCCTGCCGTAGGCCCTCAGCGACTTCTTCCATCAGCTGATCGTCTGAGACAGGAGAGATATCTGTCCCTGTTTGGTCGACCTCATCTGCTTTGACAATGTGATGTTCTGGCATGGCCGTATCGGTAGACTCCGATGTATCATCCATCTTTTAGACTCTGAGAGCTTATCTCTCGTCTCATGTAACAATTAAATGTAAAATGTGCAAGAATATCTGGGGTATCTGTTCTTGGCAAACAAAAAGAAAAGAGGTAAGATAGGTGTTAACGTTATATGTTCTAGTGGTAGTCCTGGGTGTAGAAGTGGGCAAGGCCTGACATGTTAATCAGTAAAGTCAAGGAGACATGATGGAGTCTCTTGGCGGCTTTAACGAAGCACAGTTCCGCAGCATGCTTGATAAAACGATGGCCACGCGACGGAAATCCGTCTCAGTTACCCATCTACGGGTGAGACCGATCACGTGCGAGGCACCGCGACGGAGGTATATCAAGGTACCGACCGGATTCAAATGGTATTTTGAGCTGCAGCATTCTACTGCTATTTGTTATCTCTCTAAACGTACCTCAAAATGATTCTACGATATATCTTTTGCCACGCGCATAGCAGTAATGCGTTCCCATTGAATACAATACAACTGGACTCTCACCTCATTAACCATATATTTAATTTAGTACGGGACCCAGCATATTCCCATTTGGGCACATGAAGGGTCTTGTAGCTTCTAAAGGTGCATATCCTAAGCCCGAAATATCCGTTATCATGTGTAAGCATTATAAGAACTTTCCGAGAGTCATACCAAGGTCTTGTGACTTTTCACATGTATATGGTGTATATATATTAGCGAGAATGCTAATTAGATCCAAGGGCATTGCGATCAACACGTTGTAATCCCTGTTTCAAAATCTAATGAACGAAGTATACGTGGCTCAAGTACTTATACGGTTCAGTCTGTTTTCGGAGACCGGTGATCACTACTAATATGTCCACGACGCTTCAACTTCCGCTTTGCTTCCCATTTTTGCCATCCGGCCTCGGCTAGATCTTCACTTACCACCAGATCCCGTAGTCTCAACTGCATCGATATGGTCAAATCGAGTAGCCAGTCAATCCAGCCATGTGTCCGGAGGAATGCCGTGATAAGGAACCAAGCAACGGCACACCCAATACCAGCACCACAGCCTGCCAAAACCTGTTTGGGTGTATGGTAGTTCAGATATATACGACTGATAGCCACGGCACTGGCGCCAACGCTCAAGCCCATGGCAAGTACTATCCGTATGAGAATGTGGAATGATGACTCGGCGTGCGTGGGATTATGTCGAAAGATAAGGAACAGCCCCAGATAAACGGCGAAGTAGGCGACAAATTGTGCATGGGATGATGGCATGCCGTATCCTTTACCAAGCATTTCTGTGTCAACAGTTCCACGTCAGTGTTTGAACCCAACCAGGTCTAGTCATTTACCACTTGACGTACGTTTCGGCCTTTCCTCTTGAATGATTCGCTTTAACACAAAGTTCAATGCTTCACAACCCATCTGGCCTGCGAACATCAATAGCACCTCCACCTCTCTTGTCGCCCAAACAAGAGTGACATAGGTCACGCATAATGCCTGGGGGACTAGGGCAAGCCAGGCCGACAAAAATGAGAGCGGGTCGTTCGGATTCTACCATAAATACACATGCCTCATCAGTTCCTCGACCACTCGAAAACGCGTGCGGAGATCAGAAAGAACTTACATAATGGACATGCGTCAAAGACAAAGATGCCAGGGGCGTGTCAGTCATGTTGATGAGAAGAAAGCGCCAACAGAGATTGTTTTATATTTTTATCTAATCTGATGTTTTCTTTTTCTTCTTCTCTCGCTTTCCACTTCCTTAGGTGTTCTCCGGTTCTCCGTTTGAGGACCACAATAAGATAAGGTCCGACTGATAACAAGACGGGAGTATTGAAGCAGCAATTAATAGATTCAATTTATATGCGAAGAGATGAATGAACAAGCAAATATTATTGACCGACAAGCATTATGGATATAGAAATATCCAAGGACTACCCAACCCCCCAGGACAGGGACTAAGTCTTGAGAATCCCGGTTGTATAATAATAAGCTTGAATGCAAGCCGTGGTTAAACTAACAACAGCCCAAGAACTTTCAAAGATGTCACATGCTCGTCAGGCGGGAGTCCGTGTCCCTCGCCGCTTTTGCCTCCAGGTCATGGGGAGACGGAGTTGCACATGGTCAAAGCGGCAACGCAAAATGAGGGGGAGGGGGAAAATGGTGCCTCAGGTTGCAGAAACATCATTGTCAAATGAAATGATGAGAGCGCGCAGAAAAAGCAAATAATAATAAATTTGAATAACTGATAGCTTAGGGGGGGAGAAAATCTAAAATCTAAAAATAAAAAAAAAAGTCTCTTCTAACAAAATACAAGAAACAAAAAGGACTCGGGCAGCAAACCATGCCTGAAGTTCCTTCAAACCACATGCTTTTTTGTCGGTCTATGAGTTGTTTTGAATTCCTTTTCTCTTTCTCTCTTCTTCTCTGAAGTCACTACACTTCTTGATCTGCAACCGAGAAATCAAAAGAATTCATTAACAACTCCATCTTCCACTATCCTTCTTTTCCCTTTACCTTTAGCCAAAACATGACGCACTTCTCACACGTTCAATCCGATATCTGGTTCTGTCTTTCTGTCTCGACCAAGATACTTCTATCGCAGACCATTCATTCTGACCTTCACCACTGCCAGAATTTCAACCGCCTGACAGCTCCATTTCCTCCCTAATTACGCTGTCTATCACAATCTGTTGCAGTACCTGAAAAGTAAGAAAGGATTATGGGTCCCTCTCGCTCGGTTCTTCCATATCTTCGCCGTTGCCACAAGAATGACATCCAGCCTTTTTGCAGCTTATCACTGTTAATCAATAACTGGTGATTTACTAATCGATGGTTTAGCTGCATATTCGTCTTCTTAACCTTTCCCTGGACTCAAGTCCTCTTTGAAGACTCATCGGCACCTTTCCCCGTCGCAGACACCCTCACCCAGAAATTCTCAAAGGCATGATAGTTTTAAGCGGTACATATACCATGGTTGTGTCAGGAATATTCCATTAAGAAATCTGCCTCGCCACCTCTTATCAACCACCACCCTAAATAGAGAACCGACTTGCACATCCACCTCTTCCTTCCTTTTGTGGCGGCCTTACCCTAATATGACTGATACCGAGTTGCTTGATGACGAACGCTCTGTCGAGCTGTCGTCTATCGCGGCCATCTACCCGGAAATCAAGATCAACCCTTCGTTTCCGTTCAAGGCATCTCTAGATATACCCGTCAATCCTTCACCACCTTTACGGATCGGTTTCGAGCAATATTCGGAGACTGAACTTCCAACAGTCCTGACTCCGCCCACATCCCTTGATGCTAGTGAAGTTGGCTTGGGCTTTGCAACCAAAACAGTTGATGGAGGCGCCACGGCGAGCTCCGATGATGATGTCCATGTCCTTTCGCACCTGCCCCCGCTTTGTTTGGAAATTGAATTGCCCGGTGGCTACCCATCAGAGCAATCCCCCATCATCAAGCTTAGCACAGATCCTGCGTGGCTGCCCTCTTCGATCATCTCCAAGCTACTAGACGATGGGAAACACCTCTGGGAAGAATGCGGGAGGGACCTCGTTGTATATACCTATATCGATCATCTTCAACAGTTAGCCGAGACGGCTTTTGGTATTGATGACATACCCGACGGAGAAGTTAGGCTCCCACGAGAGCTCAAAATCGCACTCTTGGATTTCAACAATAAGGCCGAGAGAGAGGCGTTCGAGCAGGAGACTTTTGAGTGCGGAGTTTGTCTTGAGCCGAAAAAAGGGGTAAACTGTCATCGGCTTTTACTTTGTTCGCATGTTTTTTGTGTGCCCTGTCTCCAGGACTTTTACAATACTTGTATCACGGAAGGCGATGTGGAAAGTGTCAAATGTCTGGCCCCGGATTGCGGCAAGGAAGGCAAGTCCGTACGAAGCCAAGAAGGGCAACCCAAAAATCGCAAGAAAAACGAGCGGACCCTGAGCCCTAGTGAGCTACTGCAGATTCCTCTGGAGCAGGAAACCGTACAGCGTTACGTCTTTTTGAAGAGGAAGAAGAAACTTGAAGCTGATAAATCTACCATATACTGCCCTCGGCAGTGGTGTCAAGGTGCAGCTCGCTCGAAGAGGCATCCCAAGCCTATTGACCCTATGTCGGATGATCTGGATCCCTCCGATGATGAGGATGTAGGACTTGTGTTCGACCCGAATGGGGATGAAGCTCAGCTACCTCCTATGGCGGATCGGGTAGCTGTTTGCGAAGACTGCAACTATGCTTTCTGCTGTGTGTGTAAGAAAGGGTGGCATGGTGAGCTTGTACGGTGCTTCCCCCGCCGAGAAGCAGAATTATCTGCAGAGGAAAAGGCAACAGAAGAGTATCTAAGGCTGTACACATCGGCCTGCCCAACGTGCGATGCGCCTTGTCAGAAACGCATGGGCTGCAATCATATGATCTGTTTCAAATGTGACACACACTTTTGCTATCTCTGTTCCAGCTGGCTTTCGGAGGACAATCCTTATCGCCATTTTAACGATGGCAACAGTTCATGCTACAACAAACTTTGGGATTTAGAGGGTGGTGATGGAATTGACCCTGATGGAGCAGAAGCTCTCCACCAGATCCCAAATGAATTGCTAGATTTCGACGACAGCAGCGATGAAGAGGACCAACCTGCCTGGGATTTTGACGATGGTGATAATCACTTTAGGCGCCAAGGCCACCCTCCGCCTCCTGCTCCGGCACCACCTCGTGTCAACCAGAGAGCTGGTGGTCTAGGGCGCCGCGAAGGGGGACGCAACTTGAATGGCTTAGATGCAGCAGGCAGGGCTGCAGCGGCCGAGAGACAAGCACAGGCACGGGCAATGGCTGAGGTACGGGGTCAACCTGATGCTGAAGCAATTAGACGACCAGGCCTCCAGAGATTTTTGGAACTGGTCCAAAACGATAGAGAAGATGAATGGGATAGTGACGAACTAGATGACGATTTTTGATGCATGCCCTGCATGTTCGAGAAAGAAGTCTCCTTGGGACATCTCTGTTTATGTGTCAATGCCCAACTTATGTATGATGATCACGAGGTTTTGCATCTATATCAGCGCATTCATCTATTTTCTTTGGAGCGTTTCTGTTTTATAAATGTGCTATAGTTATATATGTGACAAACTTGGATCCCATTGATGTACACGATCGGTATGCTATTTTGAACTTACAAATACTAACAACCTCGAAATTCAGCAAACCATATATTTGAAAACAATACTGACGTAGTGGACCACCCTCCAATCCGTTTCGGTGATTGTGTTCAGACAACAAGGTATCCATCTTCATCGCTTTCATCGTCCGCTGTGCCCGTGGGGGACCAGTTGTACCAGAATTCGTAACTCATGACAGTATGGTCCGCAAAGAGAAGCAACAAACGATAGCGCCGAGATGGATTCCAACCACGCCAACTCTCCTCCGGTTGATAGGCACGAGTAGCCCTGGCATGGCACTCCGGCAAAGTTGGAAAGGTTTGCTGCTCTTGTTCTGGGATGGTATTAACATTGCTGCTGACCGTCGGCGTGGACTCTCTGGAGACTCCAGTATCGGACACTTCAGAAGGGGTACGTAGATCATCGCTCGAAATATTGGATGATTTGGAGTTGCTTTGCAAAGGCGGGTCAAGTTCGTCATCGGTGGTTGGCTTATAGTGGAATTTCAGGCCATCCCCGTTGGCATCGTGGGGAATGTTAGGCACGTCAGGAGGTATCTCAAACCCTTGCATTGGACTGACGCTCATGCCTAGGAGAGGGATCAGAGGTCGGTCGCCGTACTTTTCCTGGCTCTCGAATGGAACGATCCAGTCGACTCTGAATGACAGGCCATTGGCTTCAGACTCGGTAAGGGTAATCACTGCGGCACGGCCTTTTTGCGAGGCGGCCACTACGATTCCATGTTCGGGGATATATTTGACCATGTTGAAGCGGTCGCATGCGTCTCGAAGCGATCCAACAATGTGGGTGAATTGCTGCCGAAGGGGTGTGCCACAGAAAACAGTTGCGCGAGAGGCAAGTGGGTTAGGGATGAGACGGATATCTGTTTGGGAGAAGTGAAGGATCGGAAAGTTCGCATGTGTTGGAGCTGGAGTCGATGAAAAGTCTATTAGTGACTCCCTATGTCCATAGATACTAGGATCACTGGGAAAGGCACCGCGTGACATACGGTTAAAGACTTGGTAAGCAACTGCTTCGGAAGTCGATGTATCATTGCCCTCTGAGGCATCGTCGTCTGCGTCATCCATTTCGATGTCCTCAAAAGGGCTGACCTCTTCTATCGAGTAGTCATCAAAGTATTCTTCGGCCCCGGGGATATCGCCACCTAGAGCTTCCAGAAGCGCCACCTGAAGAAATTCAGGCGTTGACAATGGGCCGTGAAACGAGGCATTATCGGTCTGATGTGCTGTGTCATCTACTCGACGGAAGGCCCTATTATCACCCTGGATTTCGCCCTCTTGGCTAGAATCTTGCTGGAGCCCTGTATATGATTCCCCATCAGAACTTGCATTAGAGCTCAAATTATCTTCGAACACAGAGCCGTCAACAGCACGGTGACTGAATGCATCGGCGGAGTTTGAAGGCCGGAGGTTTCTGACATCCTGGGTGTCACTGGGTTCTGGAGTTTCATCTGCGCGTTGACATTCCGCAAATGGACCATCGTACACGGCACGACTGATAGACTGGCGGGCACTATTTTCTCTATTAATGCAGCAATCTGGCCCAAATATGTCAGGTAGGATCGATTGTTCTGGTTCAGCCTTAACCGCAGGAGGAAAATAATTGTAGAGTCGAGACGCGTTAGGCACTCGGCTGCTCAACTTGGTCAGGTCCAGGATCGGTCGACCATTCTCTAAACGACGGTGAGGATGACCACCGCACGCATCCTTCGTCGATTTGAGTAGATGAAAAGTACGTGGGTCAAGGGCTATGGCTGACCAACCACGCTCTTTACTACCTCGTCCGTCAGTGAAAGCTTATCAGAGACAACGTTCCAAGACAGGCCTTACTCATGATTGAATGTTTCTGGGAAGTATTTGAAAGAAGAATCGCCGAAGTGGTACACGTTAAATGGGCCAGGGCCCTCCCAGGTCTTCCAGACAAAAACCTGATTTTCGATATCTGTACTGACCATCCATGTTCCATTTGGGTCAAGATCACAATTCAGAAATGAGACAGATGGTATGTTTGTAAAGTGTCCGGTATAAGTTAAGCGCATGTTCCGTTTTCGGTGCTTCGCAGGCATCAACTGTCGTAGCTGTTTGAAATCCTCATCGCTCTTTATTTCCAGCCAAGTCTGGCCGTAATCAGTGAGATCCCCCTCCTCCCCTAAACCCTGACATGTGTCGTTGCCCTTGCCAGAAGCAAAATTCACAAGTGCAAATGCAAAAACAGTGACAAGGCCTGTGTTTGCGGTCACTGCAATCAGGCGGGAGAACTTGTGTATGGCTAGCCCCCAGGCGCTGGCTTCGACATATTCGACAAAGAAAGGATCCACTTGGGAGCCATCGAAAGGGCGGTGCTCCTTACGTTCTGCAGCCCGCTTCAAAGCCGAGAAGATAGCCTCAACACGATAGCCGCAGACATTGCCCGAATCAGTGACCAGCAGAAGGACCTCGTCGCGCCCCAGATCATCCACAAGGATATTATTGATGGCGTGAGGCATATGTGGTGATATATACCCGCTGCTATAGGGGTCCTTCATGACAGGAGTTATTATCATCTCAGGCCTGGATCCCAGTGTCTGAAACGACCCAGCTGGCTCCCAGACATAGATTTGATGGGTATAGGCCACAAACAGAAGATTGCGACGTTGAGAAAGAGCAGCCTTCAAGCTTGTTAGTAAAGGTCGTCATACAGAAGTGATGCTGCACTATACCAGATTATTCCGCCATGCTGCACCTTGCGGAGGAAACGAGTCTGGCGCTCTGCTGTGTCGCGCAACGCCTCAGTCAGTACTACTCCATGACTGCAGGAACAATGATAGGATACTTACGAAGAGAACTAGTCGAACTGTCAGCTGAAGCATGCCCAGGAGGAAGCAAATCTAGTGACTCATAAATCAACGTACTCTTTTTGCCCCTTTCTCGACGTTCAAAGGTCTAAGATGTAGGCCTTCTCTGGCGCGGGTTTTCCGGCCTGGAGGCCCATCGTCAAGATTAAATTCCATTGTTACTATTCGCTTCCACCTGAGAAGGTGGTATGGAGAAGAACCAGTCCAAATCAACTATCAGTAAACTAATAGGCTATGATTCACAGGTGGAAATATAAAGTGAAGGTGGTGAGGGCGGAAGGATATGCTCATTAGAAAAGCACGAGGGGTATATTTAATTTAATGTATCAGATTCAAGTGTGACATCACATGAAGTTTGAGGAGGCCTATCACTTTGCAGACCATTTAGCATCTTTGTGCTGAATTCCCATAGGGAGGAAGTGACAAGACGTGCTCACAGTCTCCCTGGTCTACTATTGAGTCCTCTGTCCGAATATGAATCTTATGGTTTGATGAAGTCAGCCAACCCTGTTGATCTGCCTCAGGCTGTAGCGTGCACGTGCCACATCGATGGTGAAACTCTCTTATCAGACATAAATCCTAATAAATAACAATCTATTCTAACACCCTTTCCGGTTTCATATGAACAAGGACAACTCCTCAAGGCATCTACGATGGATCTCGTCGCAAGCATCCGCAAAGAAGGTAGCCGGTAGGCTGCATATTCCTACATCATCCGTTCTTATGTCCGCTAGCTAACCTTACTCTTGCTCTAGCGGCGGTCGCGGCGACTTTAAATGGTCCGATGTCAAAGACTCTTCGCACCGTGAGAACTATCTTGGCCATTCCGTGATGGCCCCTGTTGGCCGCTGGCAACAGGGTCGCGACTTGATGTGGTACACAAGGGCAGACGATAGCGAAGAGGATAGGATTAGAAAAGAACGCGAAGAGAAGCAACGTGTCAAGGAAGCTGAAGAAGAAGCCATGGCCCGAGCTTTGGGTCTGCCAGTTCCGGAGAAGCGCGCTAGTTCTAACGCCAATCTTACGCCGTTGGGCGATAAAGATGTCCAGAAAGCAGTCCGAGATACGACCGCGGGAGAAGACCTAGCGATCGACGAAGCGGGCAAGGGAATCGGGTACGGATCTTTTCGTGGGGGCGCTGCCTCTCTGTCCGGCACTGTTGGGGATGATAAACTTGAGCCTGTCGGATTGGACCCCCGCTCTGCAGACAAGCGGAGGCAGGGCAGTGATCGTAGCAGGAATCCAGGGAGAGATAAGAGGCGAGATCGTTTGAGTGATAGAAACAGAGACAGAGATAGGGAACACAGACACCGTAGGCATCGTGATGAGCGCGAACATCGTCACAGGAGTCATCGGCATAGGTCTCGGTCTCGGTCGCGAGATCGCCGAAGGAGGCGATCGCACTCACGGTCAAGAAGCAGAGACAGGAGGGGTAACGACGAAGGCAGGAGACGCCGAGACGACCATCATCATACCCGGGATAGAGATTCCCACTACCATCGTCGGCACTGAGTTCTTCAGTCTTCGGAAATTTGCTTTGTCTACATACGGAGTTGGGGCGTTCGTGGAGAAACGATAGTGTACAAGTAGTAGTATTCCCTAACCTAAACCATGCGCTATGCAGCGACTGTTGCTGTTCTATAGCTCATCATGCCCCTTGCTCTCAGTCGCAGGAAGATCGGGCATCGACATCATCTTCACCACCATACTAGTCCACCCAGTGAAATGCTGCGTCCGCTGTCCCTTACCTGTTTCTGGGTTATACTGTTCCCAAGCAAACCCGGTCGTCTTCCATTCCTTGAAAACATTCTCAACTACGTTCTTCCGCAGCTTGGAGTACATTTCACGGGCCTGTTCTTGATGTGGACCAGGGGTGATCGCAATGTCCTAGGGTGGAACCGTTAGTTCCAATGTGTGGTTCGTAGAGCTTTGGGCTACTCACATAAAGGTTCTTAAACACCAGATAATTGATGTTGATCCATACAGGGCTCCTCCAATAATTCTCAGCAGTCCCGTAGAACTCATCCTTCTTACTTAGACTGCGAATGCCAAAATCGCTCCAGAGCTCTTCTGGGTCGCTAATCAAGTCCAAGATGGCTTTTAGTCGAGGGCTATCAGAGCTCACCATACCAGTGAGGAAGGGGAAGATGGAGATGTATCCCTTGTGACAGACATGAACACTTTCCTCGTACTCGTCAATAGTCGCATCACAGTATGTTTGCGCCTGTTCGTCCCAGTGGAGGTCATCGACATTCCGTTCAATTGCAGTTTCATAGTATCTGAACTCTTCAGCATCTTCAGTCTCTCCCAGCCTTTCAGCAATTCGTCGGAGAGAGCGAGTCATCATCCCCATCCAACTGATCAAATCCACGTGTAGCTCACCGGGGTGTGGGGGCTGTGCTCGAGGATAATCGTCCAACCCAGATGTTAGGATGTGCTGAACAGACCGGCCCCGCCAGCGGTATGCCTCCTTGGTAGAAAAGGCCTCTCGGTCGTACGACTTAATGTCACCTCGTTGAGTGTTCCTATACCAGAAATAGTGTTTCTTCAGGAGTGGGTAAATTGAACGGATATAAGCTTCACCCAACTCCGGCTGTTGCACATAGGCAGAACGGAGACGCTCTGCGATAAATTCAGGAGATTGTTGGACAGAGATATTCTTGTTGGCATCTAATTTATCGAGGAACGCTTCCAGAATAATGAAAAGGGTTGGAGGGTTGGCGTAGTGAGGGTACTGGACGGTAAACTCGGGTGGAACTTTGCTGCGCGCCTCAGAGCCCAGGATTTGCTCCCGAGCAATCCACCCATCCTCGTCCATTAAGCTTAACCAACTCTTCACGATTTCAAGCCTGGAAAATGTCAGTATTTCGATGACGATAGGATAACCGGCTAACAAACGCAAGATCTGTATCCCATTCAACGACCGGAATCAGGTGAAAACCCTCATCCCAGAGAAAGCCTCTGGGGAAGAAAGGCCGAGAGGGAACACAAGTAAAGAGATCCTTTGGACCTTCAAGGACAGGTTGAGCCCGAGCCCTTGCCTCCGCCGTTTCTTCCCAGAAGCCTTCATTCTCCTCTTCGTACTCAGGCGCCGCGGAACGGTCAACAATGTCAGTACCGTGGAAGTAGCCTATGCCACCAACGAGATTGGAAAGCATTGACTTCGAGAATTCGGTATATTTGTCGGAATCAAAGGGAGACTGCGGGGGAAGTATCTTGTCGAAGCGCTCAGCAAAAGCTATCGAAGCACTTGTAATTTCTTGGGTAAGAAGGTCGGCTGTAACGTATATGATCAGCCTCAATTTTCACATGATCCAAGGGAAAGGCACTATACATGTCACAGGCTCGGGCGAGGACCCAGAAGAGAATAGGATATCGAACTGGGATCTGTAAGCAGACTATTTGCAAACCAAGAGATCTCCCATTTACCTCAAAGGCACCTTTGAAAACCTTCTGCACAAGCTGAACATTACCATCACCTGGCGTATTCTTGATGGTGAAGACTTGCGATGGGGGAGGAGGGTTTTCCGCTCCATACTTTTCGATGGTTTCGCTTACACCCTCCTTCATCTGCGAAAACAGAATCACTAGACGAGAGATCAGCTCTGGATCGGACCTAATAGATGCTTGTAAAAGATTGAAAAAACATACCTTTCGTCTGCCAGGTGTGCTCCGGGGGTATTGTCAAACTGGACACCAAGGTACGGTCCAGTGGTTTGTCTTCATAGCTTGGGTGTTCATGTTCCGGGTACTCATTGGTGCCAGGGCCCTCAGTCACATCAATTGTGAAGTCCCCAAGATCAGAGGTATAACCAGCCAGCTTCACATCTCCCTCAAAACCACGCGAGTCGTCAGACTGCGTGTGAAGACCCAAGTTACCAAGCCCCTCCAGAGCACTGTAGAAGACGACTGTTGTAGGCTGATCCGGGAGTGCATCATCCCGAGGGACACCTTTGACTCGGGCAGCCCAGCTGCCTCCATGCTGTCCACCGGGGACCTTGATAAAATCAATTGTCAGATCCAGGGTGTTCCCAGCGTCGTGGATTGTTTGGCGCCCGCCCTTCCGAATATCGTACTCGTCCCATCCATAACCCGCCATGCCTTCATTCTGTTCGCAGGTGTGTCTAAAGTCTTGAAGCGGGCCAGGGTTAGTGGGACTACCAACAGAAGGGAATGAACGTAGCTAATGGGATATGAAAGACAACTGTTCGGGACACATACTGGACTGAGCCGTGGCGTAATCATCTACTTTCGCCCACATCAAACCCGCGGACAGACTGTTTGGAATCCGAGGGGCAACCCCAAAGTAGAGGTTAGGCTTATAAGGACCCCATAATAGCGACTGATTGTTGGCTCGCGCAGCCTCCTTAGCTAGAATCGATACGTCATTATCTATGGATGCCGCAGCCACATAGAATAATGATGTTGAAAGAGTGAATAGTTTGGAAAGATGCATTGTCTAGACAGAAAGCATCAAATTAAACGATAGCCCACGCAATTGGAGGCGTGAACATAGAGAATGGCTATGCCACGGCGGAGGTTGATGTTACTATCTATTATCTGGCATTTCACTAGTGGAGGAAGAGCTCCCCTGTCATTTATTTACCCGCTCGGTATTTTTAGCTCCGCTCCGCACCTTACGTGGCCGAGCATATTTAACCTTGAAGACCACACATGCTAGAGATTAACCCGAGGAAATGCGTATACGTCACAGACAAAGTCCCTTTACAAAGGAATAATCTAATTGGAATCCTCTATACAATCCTTTAGTCTAGAGATAGTTCCTCGGATCAAGCGACCCGATCTTCGCGCTCTTGGCTGCGCCATTGAACACAAACTCGCTGATGAGCTTTCCTGTGCCTGGCGCATTCTGGATGCCCCAGCAAGTGTGTCCAGCCGCAAGGTACAGTCCTTTGGTTCCAGCATGGCCTACCAATGGCCCACCACGTGCAGCAGTCACATTAGGCAAGTAGCAGGCTTGACGCGCACAGACTTGTCCATCACGTAGCTCATCAGAGACGCTGCCCACCTGGTTGATGATATCCTGGCACCGCTCTTGGTCTACCTCAACGTCTGCGGTTGTCTTCGGAAGGGGAACAGTATGATCACCCTCTCCACAACAATAGACTGTATCGTCAGGGCGAGCATAGATCTCTGGCGAGGCGACCGTTGGACGTGAGGACTTCGACGGGTCAAAATTGGCCGGTATCTCTATATTAGTGAAAAGGGTATATCCACTGATTGGCCTTGTCGGCCGGATCACGACGCTATGAGCACGTGTTGCTGATATCGGGGCATCCGGCAGAACCGATCTCGTCCACGGACCGGCAGCGATAACAACATCGGTTGCAGGGATTGTCTGTGATTCGCCGTTCTCCTTACTTGCGTATGTGACTGACTTGACAGAATCCCCAGAGTAATCGATACTTGTGACTGACCCAAGCGTAACCTTTGCGCCTTTCTCTTCGGCGAGCTTTGCGATGGACGTGGTGAAGAGATAAGGATGAACTTGAGCGGTCTCCCCCGGATCACTCATGCTTTCGTAGCCTCTGACACCCTCTGGCTCAAGCCAGTCAAGATCACTGGGCACCCTTGCGGTTTTCAATTTACTCAGTGCAGCTGTACTCCGTTTTTGTAGGGACACTGAGCTCTCACCCTCTCCTTCGCCCGCCTTTCTCTTCTCGCTGAGCGGGCGACCTCTGGCGATAAGCTGACCACAGTTCACCTCTCTATATCCCCAATTTTCTTTCCCATTGTGCTCCTTAGCTAGCTCCGCGTGCAATTTGTAGCTCAATGGTACAATGTTGTCTGGGTATGCCCATAATGCTAAAAGACCGCCTGCTTTGCCTGAAGCCCCTCCTGCAATCTCTGTTGCCTCTATGAGGGTCACCGAGTGTCGGGAAGGATCAAAAGAAGGATGTCTTGTCAAATAATACGCTGAACAACATCCGATGATACCACCACCTTGGACGTAGTTGTTAGTCTCTGGTGTGTATGGGTCGTGCGGGGTTAAGTCTCAGTAAATTAAAGTCGATTCATACCAACGATAACAATATCCCGACGTTCGTTTGGGGCTGCCATTTTGCAGTACGGTGCGATCCTAAAGCCTAAAGCCCTTAAAGGAGCCACTGTTGTTGTTGTTGTTGGGGGGGTAAGGAGACGTTAACGAGTTTTGGAACGGGTTGAGGTGGGATATCAAGCAATACTTATTATACAAGCGCATACGTCACTACAAGTCATGTGCCCGGGCAGGCTAATGCCGAACATTAGCATACATAGTTAAAGGTAGTTGTGTCATCTCGTTGTCACTATTTCTTTGGTTTGTGCAAGGACAAGAAAAACATCTAAACCCTGTCCAAAACCTTGCGCGAGTGGAAAGTGCAAGAGAAAGTAAACCTTACTCCGACAATGCATATGGCCATAGTCAAAACCCTAGCTAAAGTTGGTCCCGCCTTAACAGATACGAAAGAAGAGCAGAAAGAGGAAAAAGGAGAAAAGGGTCGAATAGTAACGGATAAAGGTAATTGATCCATCCTTCATCTTGAAGGACTGAGTGGTCGGTTGAATCCTCCTATACGGTTCATATACTGTCTGTATTCCGTCTTCTTCTCCTTTCGCACCCCGTAGACATCGTTTCCAGGTACCTTGGTATTCTTTGTGCTTCTGAAATTGGTGAATCCCATGCTTCGACGCATCATTTCTTCCACATCGCCTTCCCCAGCAACCTCGATGTCCATATCCATTTCGTCTTTGTACCGATTTGGGGTCCTCAAGTCAGCGGCACCATTCGGCTGTGTTCGGTGGTCTTTGCGATCATTCCTGCGGTCTCCCCTGGATCCCCGAAGAGGTGGTGTCCTGGATCTATCCCTGTTTCCGTTTCGAAGAGGGGAGCGAGAACGGTCACGGTATCTGTCCCCTTTTGAAGGGTACCCTACAAGATTCGAATATCAGCGCTTGATCCAAGCAGAGAATCGTACCACATAGCATACCTCGCTTATCATAGTATCTGTCGCGGCTAACGCTTCTCTCTCTGTCTCTCCTGTCGCGATCCCGATCGCGGTCTCGGCGATCCCTAGACCTACTCCTATCGCGCCGCCTGTCCCTTCGATCTCTTGAGCGGGAACGGTATCTTCGATCATCGCGCGGTCCTTCTCGTCGCCCATCATCCTTTAAGTTTGTTTCACGTCTAGGACTCCTATTATACTCCGAGTCTGGTTCAGGAGAACGCGTCGGCCGGTGGTCATCCATATCCCACATTGTCGAGCTATCAACCCGTCGGGCTCGCTTTGCGGGCGGTTCGGCCATCCTTGTATGTAGGGAACAAGGTGTTATCTAGTCAAAGAGTCTGAAGATGCGATCGACCGAGAATAAGTTAGAGTAGTAGAGTTGCTGTCTCTGTAAAACACCAGCTAAGAGGTTGACCGGGAAAAATCGAAATAAACGTGACAGGGTTTAATAATATGTTAATTATTTCATCATTATTTGTTTAAAATGGGTATCAAATGCTTAGAAGACGATAGTGCTGAAGGTTGGCGTTGCACCCGGATTGAAATTGAGACCGTGAAGATATTACGGTTGCCGAGGTATGCCAGTTGCGCGATCGGCCCCAATCAAGTAAAATTTAATTTCTAGTAATCCTGAAACACAGACATATCAAAGAGGAGTAATACTAAGCATCATTGACCATATGCCAATCTTTACGCATACCACCTTATTTCTATCAGCCTTAAGCTGTGCTCACAATAGTATCACTCTTCTTTTCGTAGTATCAACTTTTCAGTTTATTTCCGTGACCCGTCTTGATTACTGGAGAACGAAGGGGTCATTTTGTAATGTGAACAATTTTAAGCTTAAAGTAAATGTTACTAACAATCGGCCCACCAAAATAGTAGCATGAATTCTCGATCGCTATTATATCTACCTCTGTTTTCTATCATTGTGAGTGATACAATAGTTTTATACAATCTCTCTCCCAGAATACGAGCTATAGCCTTCCAGACACTTCTCAAACATTCCTCTAGCATTTGTTCAAGGACATAGGAGGAAATATTAGTAACTTCCCAGTACAAGTCTACAACGGCAAGAAATACAGACTTGACTAAAGTTGAAAGGAGAAAAGTTAAGAAGAGCATGGTAGATTACTGCGCTCTAAGCAAGAAGATAGAGGTAGTATATATTTCTTTTTGTTTTTTTATCTTCATCCCCCGCTCCATATAGCCCCTACCTAATACCCAACGCCCATGCGCGATGGGAGCATTATCGGAATACTTCTGATACTCCAGAGTAGATATTTGTCAGATTGTAGATTGTCATAACTTCCTGATGCTAAAATAATAATCCAAGACCGTGAGAGAAAAGTAACTAAATTTGGGCTAATTCCAGCTTGACGGATGACCTTTTAGTGGCCCATTTTCGTGCTTGCATTTAAAAAGCCTGGTGCCTGCAAATCAATGCCTCACAGATGCATGCTGCGCTTGCCAGTTGGATTGCAGGCTGGCATTTACGCAATATTTTTTACGGCCCGTCCCGCCGAGCCTCAGACTAAGTCGTCAACGGCAAAGATCACCAATTCCTGGGAAATCTTTTATGCCCGATGTCTCCGACCCCTCATACGCACGAAAAATAACCCCGCTATTCCCTAGATCTACTAACGCAACTACCTAACATAGGTGTTACAGCTTCCTCTGCGTACAGCGATGGCACCGAATCTTTCTCATAGGCAAACGCATAATTTACTCTTGATCTCAAAGCTTCTAAGTCTGAGAGATACAGCTTCTCCGCTGACCCTGCTCTTGGATTCACTCGAACAACCAGCTACCCCATTGGTTAAAGAATATATTAGGCGTGCAAAGGTACGTTATATCTCCTACTGTACTTCTTATGTTGTACTTGCTCGATTTTTTTTTATCGGACTTGGGCTGGCTAGTGTCTACTCCATTTGTTAGACTCGAGGGTTGGGATACGTCATCAGGTCTTCAGATGGACAATTGTGAACTAGCCGTAGGCAGGATAAAGCTAAGAACTAGTACAGATCTCCAAGGTCCATGTCACACTTATTGCTTTTGAGACATTAAAGCCATTAGATGGCGTTGATGCATTCGTTTCCGCCCGAAGGAAAAGCCCCTCACAGATAGTTAAGGAAGTTGGTGCGGCTTACCAGGCTACTGCAGCCAAAGCCTCTTCTCCTCGTATGTCACCGCGGGCTAGTCTGAGTATTAGAATTATTAATGACTATGACTAACAAACAATAGGGCGTCTCATCCTTATAGATTCCATTAACCCACTTCTACTCTCTAAAACGAACGATGCACACTCCCAACTATCGACGTTTCTTAGTTCATTCCTAATCCCCCCGAGTCCTTCAGCACCTAAGGTTGAAGTTTCGCTCGTCGTGACTTTCCATCAAGATGTTCCAAGCCCGCCAGCTCAATCCCCTTATTCGCCATCATCTCTTTCAATGCTGATCTATCTCGCAACGACTATCATAAGGTTACATTCATTCTCACACATACTAGCGCAGAAGGCTGCTCGAGATCGTAGTCTAGCTGCTCCAGTTTTTGGACTCGAAGAGGAACAGGATGGAGTACTTTTAGGAAGATTGGATAAGCCGATTGGTAAGGACTCGACCGAAGGCATCGTTCTGGAGATGGAACACAGACGCAAGAGTGGGCGTGGTGTTTTAGAGTGGTATATATTACCCCCGGCATCACAGTACTCGCCTCAACATTTGAAAGAGGTTGTAACGCTGCTTGACGACCATCCTTTATATCGTCCACCGGAGGAGCCAGAGGCCGGAGCAGGCGAAGAAGAGCCAGAGTCCACTTTCGAATTGCGACTCACCGACAGACAACGGAGAGAAAGAGAGGGGGTGGTGCTACCATACTTCGATGCACAGCAAGGTGACGGCCCAGGAGAGGGCGGGCGCATTTTGTACGACATGGGAGAGGAAGACGACTTCGACGAGGAAGAAGATGAAATATAAGTGGGCACGTACAGAGGTTGTTCTCGACGCACCTTCTTTAGTGAATCAGCGCAGGACCATCTTCTACTATCTCCCTTACGTCCTTAAGCTTGTTATCAGCTGGTGTTCCCAATCGTGCTTGAAGGGAATCCAAGGATATCGTGTACAATTTGTACTGTTTACGGCATCCCGGTCAATTGACGTATAACACACGACTGGGTCATGATCAGTGAAACACTTTAATGAACATGCTATGTAAGGCTCTCATGAAAAAGAAAGGTTTACGCCTTGCAACCAAGCTGGTCGGTCATAAAAAATATTGTCAGTTTTTGAATATATCAGGGTGGATGGAGTCCGGCAACCATCAAGATTAACTATGCATACACCATATGAGCGGGCCTCCGTAAGCAGTCGGTTAGGGAAGGAATTAGAAGAAGCGCAGCCAAATGAGGAATAGAAAGAGGAACCCGACGCCAGCAATTGGACCATACTGTGGAGCAGGTTAGTATGGGGGCCTAGTGAGAACGATTAAAGACGCGCGGGGGATACCTGTTTTATCACCAGCTCCCAATTGATGCGCACTGCTGCTCGTCTGTATTTCTTGCTGTCCTCTCGCAGACGCCCCGACAACTCGCCCATCCGTTCTAAGCTATCACCTCGGTATAGGAGGTCCTCGATGTTCTTTGTCATCACTTTCGTTACATCCCGAAGCTCATCATTTAGTCGGTCAAGGTTTTGCGAAGCGCGACTATCTTGGTACAACTTCTTGGTGCGTTGGATAAATGTATCAAATTCTACAAAAGCATATGGCCGCAGGGTGGGAGACTGGTACTGCGCAGAGGAGTAAGTGGTAGTAAACTCGGTTGCGAGATCTGCGAGGTAGGTGAAGGCAAGCTTGCGCGGGTAGGAGCGGTCGCATATACAGAGGAAGCAGATATCATCTTGGATAAGATAGCTATGTTAAATACCCGAATTAGCATCTGTATCGTCTTGTACCTCGTACATCAGACTCACTGTAAGTTATATTGGCCAGACTCAATGCTAGCTTGCGGTGCGGAATTGCGACTCAACCGGCGGAAAATCATTTTGGCTTGTGTCTTGATTTCGGAGAGCTCCACTTCTGCCTGATTGGAATAATGGATAATTCAGTGTTACTCGTTGTGACATTTGTTTCACGGTGAATGGGCTGTAAACTGACCTGTTCATCATCTACTGACGCAGCCAGCATGAGGCCTTGACAAACATCAGCAACTGCATCATACAACTCCTAATCTCTCCGCATTGCGTCTTACCATCAAGCCTGGCTATTTGAGTCGATTTAACCATTTTAACTACAACTTTTTTCTTGCCTAGCAGACCTTCAGCTTGTTCAAATAACGCTCAGGTTGCAGTTCAGCTGTAGCGGCGCATATAGTACCTCTGTTGTTGTTGTCCAGATTGGCACCTAGAAGCAATGGCCCGCAAGCGCAAGGCGGTCGACAATGGCAAAACAAGGACGCAGCCCACGAGGTAAGACTATCCATACTATATTTATTTAAGTTATGAGAATTATTATCTACAAGCTGTTGGAATACCAGTGCTCAGGTGCGACATATACCGGGGCACATTTAACAATGTTTCTACACCAGGAATTGTTCCTATACTGCTAAGACAAAGGACCCGGATGACGTGGGCGAGTCTCACGTCGCAATGTCCTCCTCAAACAACAAGCGACCAAAGAGAAATCCGAAGAGAGCGGCGAAGGATCAATGGGCAGAGGACAAGTTGATGACGAGTACATCTTCCAACTTTATATATCTGGATCTTGTGGTATGTTATACAAATACGGAATGATGGCGACGTAGTGCGATATATTGACTGATGGGCAAATCAAGAAATTACTCGCCAACCCCGAAGCCTGGAACTGCCTTGAGGAGTCTGAAAAACGAGAAATACTCGATCTACTTCCTGAAGACCTACATCCGAACCCGGACCCTTCACCGGATGATCCTGATGCAAAGATACCCCCTTTACCAGAAGAGTTTCTACGTTACTCCAATAATTGGCGAGACGGCATTCGTCACTTTCAGCTAGATCTTCAAAATGGACGCTACGATCCCGTTTGGCTGCGGGAGGCAGGAGAAGCCATGCAGCAGCGGGCGGATGGGATGTTTGACAAGTTTAAAGAAGAAGAGTTTGAGCAGTTTTGGGGGCAGAAACAGAAGATGGACAAGACGCTGGCCGCAGGACAGAGTCGCCAGGTCAGATTGAGCACCCTCATTAGCAATGGGACTGTTCTTGTAGGCGATGTTTGGAAATATTCTCGAGCTTTCAAGAGTAAAGATAACCTCCTAGTGGAGAAAGAAGCCAGGGTACGTTTGTACTCAGAGCTCCGTTCGGACTCCCCAATTGACGCTGCTACAGATAGTGGATATCCAAGATGGCCAGTTAACATTCGAATTGCCCCCTGGCCAACGGGTGTTTCTTCCTGCTCCCCAGACCTTACCCTTGAAGGGCTCACAAGCCCTAGTTACAGGGGAAATCGAGAAACCAGGAGTCGTTACAACGACTACTGCTGAGATAGAGCAAGCTATGACTGCTGAAACAAGTGCGGGCACGCATTCAGATACTAATCCAACGGAAGAGGCTAGATCCTCTAACAAGCGTAAATCAGAGATAAAGATAGAACCTCGCAAGAGAGGCCGCGGCAGAAAGCCCCAGGTACAGATATCCAAGGACCTCGAAGTTGACCAAGTGAACGCATCCACCAAAGTCACAAGACCTACTCAAGTGACAGCAGAAATCACCAATCCGCCACCGACAGAAGCAAGCATGACTACCTCTGTCATGACTCAAACCACTACTACGGAGCGGGACGGCCCCAATCTGGAAATTGTTTCTGAACAGCCCTCTGCGACTGTTGAAGATGCGGCCCCACAACTGCCAATCGTTGAAGGCACATCAGAAGAATCTGGGATGATCACAGTCTCCGGTATCACGGGACCCAGCGCAATTGCAACTAAAATCTTAGAAGCTGACGGCCGTGCCGGAAAAGTCCCACACGGTAATGCTTGGAAAGAGTTCCGGGCGTACAGAAATAATCAGGATATGGGTAGCTTATGGGAGGTCAGACAAGCTTGGTTTCTCAGGAACAATTCATTGGCCAATTAAATTTAGAGAGCTGTAAGCTTGATTTTACCATCTTCTTCTGAGGGCACCTAACAGGAAAGTACTGCCCCTGTGCTAATTCTCACGTCTGATATGCGGGTTCATGTTTCTTTCTTTGCGATAGCTGACTGCTAAGTGGTCATGCATTCCAATGGCATAAGCGGAAGATACCACAAATGTATTATCATCAAATTCATTAATTCTTTCATTAAGTCTAGAACTCTTGCTCTAAACGCCACCATTACCGGTTCCTATGCCGAAAATATTTTCGTCCTTGGACGCCCTTTTCTGATCGCCGCCAGCAGCGTAGTCAACGGCATAGCTAGACTGGATGAAGTCTTCCAGCTCCTCACTAACAGTTTTCAGCTTTTCCTTCACACTCGCAACACCCTCTTGTCCTACTATATGGCGTGACGGTGGATTTTCATGCCCGCCTACCGCGGTGATGGCATACACCGTTTCTGCGACTAGAACCTCCATATGTGCAGAGCTGAGTGGAGGGTACATTGACGTAACTTCAGGACGTGAAAATGGTCCATTCTCAACAGAAGCTGTTTGGCCAGTTTCTTGGGTGCCGTTCGTTTCGGCGTGTGTGTTGGGCAGACGAGGCACAAGTCGGTTTAACATTCCGCGGAAAAGGGGTGCTTGGTTAGAAGCTGGTGAATATGCGCGAGCTATTGGAGGCACGCTAGTTACTAGATTCGTGAGAATGCCGATTTCGATACTGCATTGGAAAATCGTGAGTTTGAGGTTGAATGGGGCTATCTCATATGCAAGGCTCTGCAGCGTGGCGGTTAGCAGAATTGGGTGAAGCCCCCGGCACAGATTGCACTCACGTCGCAAAACCCTTCGAGAGCCCACCCAGCTGCGCAATACATCCCAAGTCCTGGCGTGCCAATGTGAGCGGCTGTCCTTGTTAGCCATTGACCTCCCCTAAAAGCCGTACCGATTAAGACCTACTGATCCCCGAGAGAATCATGATGTGTCCGGTTCTCTGTTTCCTCATATGAGGAAGTGCTGCTTTTATAATACTAAGGGGCCCGAAATAGTTGATTTCGAATTGATCCCGAACCAAGTTCAGCGTTTGCTGGGATGCCCCGAATTCTTCCACCGTCCCTACAAGGGCTGCGTAGGCAGTTAGCTAAATGACCGGCGTTGAAAGGGACGTGCTGCATAACCCATACTTTGACTTGTACAGCAAAGAAGAATGTCTATCTTGCCGAATGTTGTAACAGCATCTGCCACAAGTGCTTGACATTCCCCTATCATCCTGCACGATGAATGTAAGCACACTCCGCTCCCCTTTATAGCCAATGCTCCACCGCGAGTTTATTTTGGAGACATCTCCGGAGTGCGCACCTTATATCGAAAGGAACGGACTTGAATCGCTGTCGCCATCCCTCATGACTATGACTGTCAATCTCGGCTAGGAAAGACTCGAATTCATCTCGACGGCACTCGTCCCGTTCTAGACTCGAATGCGCCAATCCAAGCAATGCGTAATCGCCGTGTGCGAGGATTTGGCGTGTAACTGAGATCCCAATGGGCGAATCCCCAGCAGTGATTACCCATACTCGTGGTTCATTATGAGTGGGAAACTGAGGGCGGGGGGATTCGGGGAAGGGAGGATTGTCCGACATTAGATCCAAGCTGATGATATCCACGCGCCACACATGTCGATAGCACGGCAATATTCTGTATGATCTGACGTTACCGATCTAGATCAAGCAGTACAAGATCCACGCGGCCGATCAACTGCGGTTCAGGACGTCCTTTCGTTTCCGTGGAGTCGGGAAATGTGGAGAAATGATTCCAGAGGGAACAATCGCGTTATGTCATGCGCCGATAAGAATAATTTATCGACCCGCCAAGATAAAACGACCCGAGTTCTGGACCAAAGCGGCGTAGTTCAACGGATTACTAGCAGTCCGCCGCTCGTGGCCTTTTCCTTTTCTTCTCTCTTCCCTCCCTTCCCCTGTTTTTACCCTCTCCCTCTCTCTTGTCGACCAGGCCACTGCAGCTCTGGGGCACGTCAACAGAGAGCACAATGCCTGAACAAAGACAGCGCAGGGATGACCCGGAGTCTAGCGTACGTATGCGACGTACCATCATCAGTTATCAGGCTGATCGGGCTGACCATCTCGTGATTTAGTCCGGCTTCAAGGGGGCCCTTCAGGGTCTGGCCTTCTTCTTACTAACACAGTTTATCTTCAGTCAATTCTTTGGTGGACGCCAGCAGAACGATGCTGGTTCTAGCGGGAAGCCGGGTGGGATTCCTACCTTCGCAGATCGTCCAGCTCGTAGCGAAATCACCGAATACAGTGCTATCCCTGATATCATAAATCCGATATGGCCTTCCGATAGTGCCTTGGACATGAACATCTACGTCTCACCATCAGTCGTGCTTCCTACTGTTAAGTCTGGCCCGGCAAGCCAACTTGTGCTCAATGAGAAGAACTTTACTCTTGGAAACTACAGTGATACCAGGGAAATTGATACTACCATCAAGATCCCCAAACAAGTACAACAAAATGGAACTCTTTTCGCGCACTTCATGCTCGGACTTTCTGGGCATCAGCTTGATCCCTCGGCTAAAGATTACAGCACAGATTCTGCAATCTATTTCTTCCGGCCGCTTAACCAATATCTCCCGAAGAAGAAGGCCAAGAAGCTCAAGAACCTTCTTGCCGGCTCGGACGAAGTTGAAGAAGAAATGGAAGACAACACACCGGACGTCTCCATCGCATCGTACTATCACCCGAACTTCACGGTATCTCTGATTCCTGATTCTGGTACCCAGAGATTCCGTCAGATTCATCCGGCTGTCCGGTCGCATGTGCAGCTAGAGGCATCTGGAGCACGAGACATCTCTGGAAAGAATGGATGGTACTACCCTATTGTTTATTTGAATACCTTTTGGCAACTTAGGAGTCATATGATGGAACTCAATTCTACCGTGGAGACCGTGCCTCTTCGCATTACTCTTAACAACTTGCAGAACTGGAAGTTCAGCATGATGACGAGCGTTGATGACAGCGCAAAACAAACCGCTCGACAGGCTGCCTTTGGAGCCTCGACTCCGGGCGGTGGTGACGGTACTGAGTTTGAAATGGTGAAAGAGATCCTCTTGGATACGAACATCTGGCTGCTGGGCACAACTGGTATCGTGACTATCCTTCACATGGTCTTCGAGACCCTGGCCTTCAAGAATGATATTGTGAGTTTGTAACTCCATTCAGATTTAGGGCAATGTACTGACCTAGTGTTCCGATAATAGGCGCACTGGCGCAAAAAGAAAGACGTCGTTGGAACATCCGTTCGTACGATCTTGGCCAATGTCTTTATGCAGGCAGTTGTTTTCCTCTATCTCATGGATAATAGTGATAACACT